CAACAAGTTTCAGCATCAAAAAAAAAATTAGGGTTTTTATGTTAGGGGATGTTTGCATTGTGAGAGAGTGGGATTGGCTAGAGAAAAATGTTGCGATTTCATCTGTAATGTAGTCCTTAAATTAATTTAGTCCAGAGGTCTCCAAACTTGGCAACTTTAAGACTTGTGGACTTCAACTGTTGCCAAGTTTGGGGACCCCCGATTTAGTTCCTGAAAGAACAGAAGAGAAAGTGAGTGACTAGTCATTCGAACACCCAGAAGCATCGCCTTATCAAGCGTGCATTGAGGAACAAGCCTTGAGACAAATAGAACTTGCACAGTGACCAGTCCTAGGGATGGTTGGGTCCTGCTGCTAGCCATCAATATGGAAATAGTTTGAAACTCCAGCTGTGGTCCTTTTTACAACTCTAGCGTAGCCGAATCCTCTCCAAACATATTGCCTTCCTATAGTATATATAGGAACCTTTCCCATTGTTTCAGACACCTTGGCTTGGGACGATGGAAGCTATACAACTTGTAGTCCAAAATACAAGTTAGAGAGAAATAGTTAAGGATGAATTAGGTTCTAAAACTCGAGTCCCATTGGTCTAAGCTGGCATAAAGTTGGGTTTTTGTTGGTCAGCCAACTACCAAGTCACTTGGCACCAGATCATCCCATTAATTCATAATTTTATTTACTTATTTGGGCAAAGCATGTTATACAGAACTTGCGTTTAGATAAACCAATGTTAGAAAACAGTGCAGGGTGAGAATCCAGACTAAGCTAACAATCTACCTCTGTCAGCTTTATTTAAAAGGCCAGAGTATCTATTATTCACAGCCATTGGTAAGCTCAGGATCCTGGAGAGGAAGTAGTTCCCATCTGTACCACCCTGTCTTAATTACCTGTTGTGGCTCTTTCTCCCTATTTACATACAACGCTCTTCATACAACTTCCACGTTTGCTTTTTCTATACAATACCTGGCACCCGCTTTGCTTATTGGCAATGAATACACGAGAAGGGGGAGACATCCACATTATCCTATCCCCTGTACTGGTTAATGGCAGCAATAAAGTTATCTATCATCTGTTCTTTGAACCAGTCGAAGTCGGGTAAAGAACGCAATTCTAACCACTGCGCTGGGAAAAAGAAATGTGCAAAGATTTCCATATTTTTCCTATGGAATAGGTTTCTATGGCGTTGTTCCTGATGCTGGCTTACTTAGGAAGGAGGTCTGGTTAAGCACCTGGCCTATTCAAGAGGAAACTCCACGCAGGCTTTAAGATGCCCAAGGAATCAACGCCACTGATTTCAGTGAATGCGTTGAAAGCCGGCTCAATTCTCGGATTTGGCCTCAGGAAAATTGGCTCGAATTTCTAACTCAGCTCGAAAGGCAGAAACCGGTTTCGGGCTAACAAAATGTGAGTGGAGGCTTAGTTTTACCCCCAGTTCAGGCATCCTTCAACAATCCCAAAATATGGCAATAATAATTATTTTTCCCCCATTACTGCTTGCACGACACACCATGCCCGCGGCAAAGACGCAATTGCCCCTAAAGGCATTAATTCGGTTTATAGAAAAAAAACAAACCGAAGCCTTCTCGGAAGAAGTCCGATCACCTATACTGTACATCCAGATAAATATATTAAGTTTCCTGGACTTCCCAAAGAAACAGAGAGATCGGATAGATAAGAGGATGGATGGGGGCTCCCGGCTTATAGGTTTAATTATCGTGAAGGTTTAGCCTCACACAGAATCTCTTCGGGGCTGTAAAACGGAAAAGGGCTCCACTGATAAGGAGAACACTTTAGCTGACTCAACTTTCCCTTTTCCCCCTGCATAAATTTGAGATAAAAACCTTGCGGTTCTCCCCGGCTGCAAGCCCAGCCATGAGCTTGGAGAGAGATCTTCCCGTATTTTTTACTTCCAAAGGAACAGGCCAGGGACAGAAACCTGGCCCAGGTGTAGACTTCAGAGCAGGTTCGCTTGCGCCAAAACTGGACGCCGGCTTCTCTGGGAATTTATCTTGCTTCCGTGATTTTTTTTTTTTTTTGACAAACTCTAGTCGGGACACAAAGCAGACACGTGGCGCCGTGTGTGGTCGGCCTCGCCGTCGCCACTGGGCCAGGGCTACAAACTCAGAACGGCTGCATCCCTTTAAAAGACCAGGACTGAATTCTGAGCTAACAGCTGTGTGGCGTTTCTTTCTTTCTCTCTCTCTCTCTCTCTCTCCCTCTCCCTCCCTCCCTCCCTCTCCCTCTCCCTCTCCCTCCCTCTCTCTCTCTCTCTCTCTCCCTCTCACGGCATCACACGTTGAATCTCACGGCAGTCAACACGAAGATGCAAGAGTACAAAAGAATATGCGGGATAAAGCAAAATAGCCTTATGCAAAAAAAATATATACATTTTTTTAAAACGAGTCAACACATCATTCTTGGTTTATTGTTTTTGTTTTAATCAACCGTCACCTACGTATCCGATTGCGCGCGATCCTGAAAATTATCCCCAACATTAAGCAGCCGAGAGCTGCGCCTTTCTCAAGAAGGTCTAAGCCTTCAAATGTAATCTAATCGATCGTGTCCCCCCCTCCCCGGATCTCGAAGGCGCTTTGTTGGGAGATCTGTTGGACTGTCAGTCAAAGGCCATCGATTGGTAGGAAGGCTGGGAAGCCAGAACGAAGGCGCCCCCCCCCTCCCGGTCCCCATATTGCAAGGCAAAACCCGATTATTTTTTGGTAAAAAAACGACTTATACGCCGCGTTTTGTTCTACTACTTCCAAGGGGGGGCGGGGGGGAGTGGAAGGAACAAGAGGGGGGGGGGACTGGGGGCGCCCCCCCGGGCGGCGGCGGTGGGGCGGGGATAAAAGGGGGGGGTGGGGGGGGGGGGGGGGGAGCGAAGCCTGAAGAGCCTCGGGGGACAGTTTTTCTCCTCAGAACTGAAGCGCCTGCTTTTCGCTCCCCTCTAAGCTAAGAGCGAAATAGGAATGAAAAGGGCTCAGCTGAAGGCCTCGCCCGCCCGTCTCAATCTGTTGACGGCCAGTGTGTGGGTTGGTGTTTTTTTTTTTTTTTTTTTGTTTAAATCAGCTCGGCTCTGGGCAGCGGGACTTGCATCTGGGCCCTTTAGACTCTTCCTGATGGGCTAATGCTTTTTTCCTTTTCCTCTGAAGAAATCCACCTTTTAGGCTAGAAGAGGGAGTATCCTCCACTTGCTTTCAAGGGAATGTACTTCCAGTGCGCAGCTCTGATCCTAAAGTAATGCGCAAATAAGAATTTCCGGGGTGGTGGTTAAAAGTAAACCCTCTTCACAATTTGGTGGGAAGGAGGGGCAGAATTCCGCGATGTTTTTTCTGCCTTTTCCTTGGCTATGATAGTTTCGACATATTGTTGGTTCGCGTATATAATATGCCATACGCTAAATAAACAAATAAATGTCAACCCATATTTGCATGGTGCTCAAGGGGCGAAGCCAACGCTGAAGCTTGCTCGCTCGCATACAGATACCCGCTTCTTATCCTACGGTATCTTTTCCTGAGCGGAACCTGGCGGGTTGGGCCTTGTGTTGGTTTCTGGAATCAGAAAGTACACTCTTCCGGATAAAACTGCAAATCCTGTGGGTTTGAGTGTAATCCATTTGACTCACTATTGGCTCTGAGCAATAAAAACGCTTCAAGGAAGGACGAGGATAAATCTTGAGTTCAAATCCTGGATCAGCAACCTCCAGGGTAACTTTGAGCCGGCCGTTCTCTTTCAGCCCCTTCAGCATCTCAGGAGACAAAATGGAAACGGCGTTTTTCAGCTCTTTCCGGGAAAGGCCGTTTTTAAATGGGAATAAATAAAGACATGCTTTCTAGCGCCAGGCTTCCATCTCCCATAGATGTCACCTGACCCCCGCATGCGTTTTGAAAGAAATAATTCGTTTTGGGTTTACATGCAGTGGGGCTGCTGCTGAAGTCCTGCGGAGACAACGAGTCCTTTAAATTCATTCGCTCGTTGGTTTAGCAACCAAGCGTTAAAAGCGCAACGCACGAGTTTCTAGAGGAAAAAACAAAACAAAACACGATTTAATAGAGAATTGGAGCCGTTTGTGAAATGCGGCCACGAGTTTGTACACGGTCTCGAAGTCATGAGAGAAACACGAAAGGTTAACGAGGATTGCGGGAAGCGAGAAGGACATTTGCAGAAATGCAGCCGGATTGGTCGGTGTTCGGGATCAGGAGGAGCGAGAGAACTTGGAAAGGCGGCAGAAGCGCTTACAGGAGATTCCCCAAACGCCAAGTTGTTGCTACTCTGTTGGTTGTGGTTCATCAGAGAGCGCAGCAGAGAGCCGTCGGTTATTTTTGAGGGGCTCAGATTTGCGCCCGGCCATAAGTGGCCCGTCTCGCCAAAAAGGAAGATGGGGCCGGGCTTGCCAAAATAATGATGATGATGATGATGATGATGATGAAATAAAGAAAGAAAGAAAGCCGAAGCGCTGAGCCGGCTTATCAAGCAAGCCCGACGCAACCAACAGGCCGAAGGGAGGGAAGTGGAGCGCGAGGGCGCGCGGGGCTGCAAGCGCTTGGCAGCCGGGGGAGCGCGAGCGGAGGGTCTGTTTTGGGCGCGCCAGCACGTGACGCGCTGTCCGCGCTATAAAAGCTCCGGGCGCTCGCTTGGGCGGCTCAGTGCCTGCGCGACGTTCCGGCCGGCGGGAGCTTCGCGCGAAGGCGCTGGCTTTTCCCCACCCTGTCTGTCCCGTCCCGTTCCCTCACCCCCCCGTCCTTTCTCTCCTTTCCTTGTCCCTGGTCCCCGCCCGGGGCCACCCGCAACCCCTGGCCCAGTCCCCTCCCCTCCCGCCACTCCTCCTCGCCCCCCCCCCCCCGCACCGGTCGCCCTGCCTTCCTGAAGGGAGAGAAACGCCGAAGAGCGCCTGTTGCTCTCGGCCCGGCCTCCTCCTCCTCCTTCTCGGACTCCTCCCTCGCTCCGCCGCTAGGGGGTGGCCTAGGCGAGCAGCCCGAGCCGGAGGCAGAAGCAGTCGGGCCGGAGGAGCAGCTGCAGCACCACCGCCACTACCACCATGACCCTGGGCTGCAGCAGCGGGAGCAGCCGACCCTGCGGCTTGCTGGCGGCCCCCTCGCCGGAGGAGGAGGAGGACGACGACGAGGCGCCGTCCGACGTGGAGGACGACGACGACGACATCGACGTGGTTGGGCCCCCTCACGAGCACGGGCAGACTAAGTTTAGCGAGGAAGAGGAGGAGGAGGAGGAAGAAGAGGAAGACGACGACGATTTGCGCCTCCTCCCCAAACAGGCGGTGCGGGTGAGGCTGTCCCCAGTCCAGCGAGGCCCGGAGGTGGCCACGCTGGGCGACAATCACGTCGTTGCAGCGGCTCCGGCGGGGTCGGCTCCGGCGGGGTCGGCGGCCGGCCCGGCGTCCGCCTCGTCTTCTTCTTCCTCCTCCTCCTCCTCCTCCTCCTCGTCCGGTGGCGCTTCAGGAGCCGGCAAAAACCCCTTGGTGAAGCCGCCCTACTCCTACATCGCGCTCATCACCATGGCCATCTTGCAGAGCCCCAAGAAGCGGCTGACGCTCAGCGAGATCTGCGAGTTCATCAGCGGCCGCTTCCCTTACTACCGCGAGAAGTTCCCGGCCTGGCAAAACTCCATCCGCCACAACCTGTCGCTCAACGACTGTTTCGTCAAGATCCCCCGCGAACCGGGCAACCCGGGCAAAGGCAACTACTGGACTCTGGACCCGGAGTCGGCCGATATGTTCGACAACGGCTCCTTCCTGCGCCGGAGGAAGCGCTTCAAGAGGCAGCAGCAGCAGCAGCAGCTCCACCAGCAGCCGCCGGAGCTCCTCTTACGCGCCGCTGCAGCCGCCGCCGCCGCCGACCCGGCGGCTTTCCTCCCGGGTTTCGCCTACGGACCTTATGGCTACAACTACGGGCTGCAGCTGCAGAGTTTCCACCACCACCACCACCATCACCACCACCCGGTGGCCGCAGGCGGAGGGACGGCGGGGACTTTTTCCTTCCAGACTTCATCCTGCAGCCTTCCTGCGCCGCCGGGCCCTGGGGCCACCCAGGCGACCGCCCAGTCCGTCTTCTCCAGCGGGCTCTCCTCTTTCCTGGGAGGTGATCTAAGTTGCAGGAAAGTTTTCTACCCGGCGGGGCAGCTTAGCCCTACCGCCTCCCTCCTGCAGAGTCTCAAGACGGACCAGGGAGCGGGCAGCAGGCCTTCCTTTTCCATAGACAATATCATTGGAGGCGGCGGTGGCGGCGCGGCCCCTCCGCCCTCCAGTAGCTCCGCGGTCAGCGCAACAGATTCGCCCTTCCCGGCGGGCCATGCTGGGAGCCAAGCGCAGGTCCTGGCTATGTTGTCTCCAGCTCTGACTCCCTTACCGAACCATTTGAGCCTCACCCACGAATCCCTCCTGCAATCGGGACAAAACTTTTCCAGTAAACTCACAAACCTCAACAATTGTCCTTTTTAAAGGCAGCCACAATGGCCCCCTTCCCAATCAACATTCCCCCTCCTATCTATCTCCCTCTATTGTCCTCCCATTGTGTTTTGAAAGGTAGGAACTTTATTTCGGGGTGGGTGGGGAGTGGGGGGGGGGTGGCATCTGAATCTGTATGTGTGTGTGTGCGTGTGTGCGGGCGCGCGCGCCCACGTATCTCCTCCGTAGTTATGCTTTAGCAAATGGGGTATGTGAGTAGGGGGAGAGAGATTGTTGAGCCAAAAGGCCTATTTAAAATTAGTCGTTATGAAATGATTTCTGGCGGCTTTTGTGGGGGGGGGGGGAAGCAAAAGTGAAATCATTTAATTAGGGCTGCAGTCCTAAGCTGTCCAGGTGGTGCTATTTTAGTTGGATTTATTGGAATGGCCTTCCAAGTATGGATCCATTAGCAACTCAGTTATTCTGGGGTTATTCTGCCTTATGCTCTGTAAAGTTACTCCATTCAATTTAAGACTGTCAGAGTGGAGTTCTTTGTGCAGTAGAATGCAGATTCCCAGGTAGTTGGTTTGAAGAAGGGCTTGTTCCAAGGGTATAACATTAAACTGATAGTGGTGGGTGTTAATACATGCTTTTGGGGGGCAAATCCCATTGCATTGTATGTGCTCCCAGGATAGCAACCTTGTGTGTGTGTGTGTGTGTGTGTGTGTGGGGAGGATGCACTTGTGAGACTTTGCATTTAAACTGTTTCCCTGAATGGTCCCAATGTCTGTATTTTCCCCATTTTTGAATGAAGGTTTTAAAATTTCCCTCTTGGGGCATCCTTAATAGTTCAATGTTTCCTAAAAATGTATAAATCAATTTATGTTTTAAGTGAGATTTGAAATACATACCTCTAAAGGCCAGGCCATATCAGCAAATCCTCTGTTATCAAAACTCCCGCCTCCTTTCCACCCCTTCAGTGTGTGCGAGCAGTCTGTGTGTGTGTGTGTGTGTTTTCTGTGTATCGGGACTCATTGGCGTGTATACATTGTGCACCGGAGCTAATTCGCTCTCTTCCCACTAGTTGTGTTTCCCTCCTATTTTATTGAAAGAATTGTGAATAATTAGATGTGGAAAAGGCAACGCATTTTTTGTCCACCTCTGGTGTAAATTAATAAATGTCTGTGAATTCTCTTAAAAGGAGCGCAGTGGGTCTTGCTATTTGCTCTTGTAATTTTTTTTTTAAAAAAATGTGTCAGTATTGGATCTTTGGAAGTAAAAAAGACCTGCGGAGCAGATGGATTTATTTGGGTAATGCTAAAAGCTAAGGGAAAAAGCAGTGCCTTCAACTTTGCTGTAGCAAGGCCAAACCACTCTCAAAATCAGAGGCTCCGACTCCCATGAAGCTTGTAGAAGTACATATTGGATTGTACTCTTTGTATGTCAACCTATCAAAATCCTGGTCTTAAAATACATATCTTGAATTGGTGTACTAGACTACAGATAACAATTAAAGCCAGGGTCCAGTTGTTGTTTTGAGCAGAAATATAATCTATACAATAAATGTTTCCCATTAAGTAGAACAAGATAAAAGGAACAGTTTGTAGCTTACCAATGAAATGTGGGCTTGCCAGAACTTTTCCTTCCTTGCCTGTTAATGAACTCTTAAATTAGTTTACTGTTACTGATCCTTCTATTTCTTTTAAAGTAATAATTTTGGGTTGTAAACCTAAAATAATATTTTTTATTATAAGTTTGTGCATTAGTTTTAATTTTGACATCATATGTGGCAATTAAGTTCCCATTTTCCAAAATTACTTGAAATTGCCAAGGCAGGTCTTAATAGAGGAAAATTATACACCCACTCCCCTTTTTGTTATAGTTGGAAATGTTGACATATGAAAGGAGGAGTTGTGGAGGGGAAAAAAAATGCAAGTTCTTTCTGAGCAGAAAGAGTTGAAGTAACCATTTGAAATATGAGATCTCTGCCTAAATTTGTGAGTGAAAAAAGGTACAAAATAAACAAACTCTTTCTTCGCCAAGCCATGCCCTGAAATCTCTTTATATTTTGGCCAAATCTGAAAATGCGGGGCTTTGTTTGAACAAAATGCTCCCCTAATCTCTCAATGAGCAGCAATGTCTTGTCAGATTTTTAAAAATCATTATTATTGAGTGACCCTGAATAAGTGAATAAACCAACCCACTCACCCCTCCCCTCTAATTTAAAATACTCATTTACTGGCTTTTTTGTGGCTCGAATAGATTCTCCCCTGGAGAAGGGGCCTGTGAAGGCAGAGGTAAATGAGGAGGAGTCGGTGGGTGGCTGCCTGGCTTTCTATCTGGGGAGGGAGGAAATTACAGAAGAGAGACGGTTCTTGTAGCGTTTTCCATCTGTCTTTCAATGCAGACCCGACCCCCTCCCCGCCAGCCTTCCCGAGTTTGTTGATGTTGCTCCTTGAAAAGAGTCTAGCCCTCCCTGCTGGCTCAGCGAGGGGTCTTGCGTCCCCCCAGCCCCACATTTGCTTTTGAAAAGGGATCCCCTGTCAGACACTTGGTCCTTGCCTTTCATGTCCAGTCCCCACAAAGAGGCTACAAGGCAAGACACGGAAAGGTGGGGAGGGGGAAAAAAAAAAAAGAGGCGGCTGCCTGACAAAATGAATCTATTTTCCAGATTGCTGAGCACATGGTTACAAATGGAAAGAGCTTTGGGACTTTTTTTTCCCTGTTGATCTGGGGAGGGGGCACTTCTTTCGCTCTCTTTCTCTCTCTCTCTCTCCCCCCCCTCCAATCTATACACATTGTTAAGCTATATCTACTATGCCAGACACTGTCGGAGGAGAGTTCTGGGCACCCATTTCCAGCGCCAGCCAGTTAGTCGACGTCTGGAAAATGGGAGAAGCAAAGAGCTCTGAAGTTGCCTTTCCCTTTTTTGTTTGTTTGTGTGCGACTAGGCTGTGAAAAGAGGGAGTGAGAATAAAAAAGCCGGCAGCACAGCACCCCATTTGGGAGAGTAGGCAAGAGTAAGTGCGGACTGGTATGGCAGTGCAGTTAGGACTCATCAACCGCGTAAAATCAATTCCAATTCCAAACTAGGTAGATTTACTTTCTTGAGGAAAACAAAACGCTGAAGCGCTCGGATTTCTGCTTCTCGACTAATCCGATGTTAAGGGCCTAAACTTTCAAACAAACCACGTCGAATAGCGGGCCAAAGCGGTTGGGTAATCTTTTCTTGAGGAAAAAAAAAATCCCCAGAAACCCACGGAAAAGGGGGTCGGCACAATCCTAGCCATATTTACGCGATCTCCCCTGATCTCCCCAGACTAGGCCTGCGATTGCAGCTTTCTCAGAGGCGTCGCGATTTGTTTCCATTTGTATTGATTGGATACTCATTTCCAAGCGGTACGGCTGAACCTGCCGCGGTTCCACGCAGAGTGGGAAATGCTCTCCGATCTTTTCTGCCCGGATTTTCGGAAGTGTTCCCAAAGAGTTCCACAGACTTAGCGTGGATACAGGCTACAGGATGCGCGCCCGCATTTTGAGGAAGTGTTGGGAGAGCTAGGGAAACTAAAACTCGCCGTCAAAATAAAATTGAGAAGGCGCGGAGTTCCAGGGCTAAATTAGGTTCTGGCGTCTGAAAGCTGCTTATTTCAGAGCGCGGAGCTTCAGACTCAGCGCAGTTGTAAAGTAGACGGGCTGAAGGAAGGCGGACTGCAGCCCTGCAATCCTGGCTTGCATCTCTGGCAAACTACACCTCACGAACGCCTTTGGCTTCTCCTTGCCTTCTCCCTTCTGCTTGAAAGGAACGCGTTGAACTGCGGTATAGAAAAAGGCTGCACTCACTTGGGATCTTGAGACCACACATTTTTTTTATCTAGAGGTAGAATGTGGTGTTGATTCCCTTCCCACCTCCCCATTCCTGAATCTTCGACCCGACCTGGCATTTTCGTCGAAGCTTTTTCCCCCCCCTTTAAAATCCATCCGTTAAAGAGGGAAGGCAAGGTGTGAGCGAGGGGGGGGTGGAAGAACAGAGAGATGGGCTTTAGTGCTCCCAAGTAAACCTTCAGGTGGAATCGGGTCGCAATCCAAATGTAGTGGGAAGGGTTTGTAATCTTTTTCCCTGCTGGAGTCCAGTTTTTAACCGCACCTCCACGCTTCCTTTTTAATGTGGGAGCTGCTGAGTCAGCCACCAAAAAAAAAAAAAAAAAAAGGCTCCGAGGATCTTATTCCTTCCTGAAACTGGGCTCTGTCTACCAAAACTCCAGTTAGTGGCGTGCTTCTAATGTCTTTTCTCTCTCTCTCTCTCTTTCTTAAAGTGAGAAAGAACGGACATCTGGAATTTGTCATTGAGGAGGCCATCGTTAGCAGCCCGTTTTCCCTGGGGCAGGATGAGGAAATCGTTTTATGAAGGACTGACGCGTGTCTTGACTCTGGCGCGATGGGCTTCATTTCCCCCCTCAGTGGTTCAACTCAAGGATCGCACAGGTCCCCTGCGCCCTTGAACTGAACAGAATACCGGACCTTCCCAGTGAGGGGATTTGCCCAGGGAGAGAGGCAGCTTTGCATCTTCCCCTGTGCAAAAAATAATAGCCGGGCGTTCACAAGAATAATAAGGAAGAGGGGAAGGAAGCTATGCGCTCCCCGCAGTCCAACCTGGTTTTGAACTCTTTCCTCCTCCTCCGTCTGAACGTGGGGCAGAATGCTTGGGCGGGGGGGGGGGGGGGGACTGGTTTTCCTAGGGGCCCTCAGATAATGGCATCTGCCCGGAAAAAAAAATTCTGGAGCTCTTTTTTGTGGAGCTCGGGTTCACCTTGAAGGCTTGAGTTGAGAATGGTAGAAAACGGGGCTCCCTTTTGTACTTCTAGGCAAGAGGCGTTGCGCCCTTTGTTTTGCTTAGGGAGATGGTTGTAAAGCTTTCTGAACAAGAACGTTTTGCTTCGTTTGAGAATCTGGTCCATTACTGGTCCATTAACTCCACTTTCCAGAATGGTAACAGAGACGTGTTTTCCCAACCCCGTGAAGAAGTGATTGATCGGAAGCCTCCAAAGCAAAGCAAAGCATAGCAAAAGAAGTCTGATTTTCACCTGCTT